TTCTGGTGCTATTTCATTTTAACCCTCTGGTTGGGATTCATTATGGTTTTTAATGGTAATGCTTGACGAGATTGAATGTTCCTCAGTCATTATGGTGGTATGTATTGTGGGTTTTTTGTTTTGTTTTGTTTTTTAAATACTTTTCTGTTCCTTAGTAGTTAATGCATCATATAAATAATTCATTAATCATGGAAAATTATTAGAAAAAGTGTTAGAATATTAGCAGAGTTCCTCCATAACTGCTGGGGAAAACATGGGAAACTCCAAACAGACATTATAATAGGAGCTCATCATCAAACTTCAAGAATCTGATGAAGAGTACCATGTACTGGAAACTAGGGTTGTACAGTATTGGTCTGTGTTTGAGCGCCATCTGGTGGACAGACGCCATTTTGAATTGAAACTCGTCCGCCATTTTGTAATTGAAGTGAACGAGGAGAAAGTAGTGCGGATGTTCATCTCACTACCCAAATTGAACTTGTATTCTTCCCTTAAAAATAGTTCCTTGTCTTATGTTGAAATATATATATATATATTTAACTTTTGATTTTTAAATGTCAGTCCCTATAATATGAAAAAGAATAATAAAAAAAAGCGCTAACCGTCACTGCACGAGGCAGGCAGGTGTTGGGCACGTGCGTGATAGATCTGCACATATTGGGACCGGTTTGTATTTATTGTAGTTTTATGGAGACTCACACGGCCACCGTTCAACTGATTGTAGAATACATTCGAATATTTTAGTATTAAATCATAGTAAACTGTGACTAAATTCATTATAATAAGCTAATTAATCCACAGAAGAAGAAGAAGAAGAAAAAACATGTTTCAAATTGCACTCGATTGTTCAATCTGGCAACAATGAGAAGCTTTTATTTATATTTACATTTTTTTTTTTTTTTTACACATTCTGGAGGGGGAAATAATAGAAAATAAATGTATTATATTTAAATTGATTAATTATTAACTGCATTGTGGATTCCTTTTTTTTTTGGCTAGGGCTAGGGCAGGCTGGAAAGTCTGGAAGGGAGTTGGGACATGCACACAATATTCAAAAAACAGCAGCTAGATATAAGCATTTTTAAGCATGTTATTGTAACTTTTGACCAGAATGTGGCACTGTTACAAAATTTGTCAGATGGCCTCAGGTCATGGTCCTGAAGACGCCTACCAAGTTCTGTGTCAGAGCGCTATGTCGTTTCTGAGATGCAGCCACCCTTCCTGTTGGGCGGTTTCGCCGATTCGTCGGCCCGGTTTGGACAAACCGTTTGGAATGTTCAAAATTCAAATGTTCAAAATGAGGCTTAGTCTGAAGATGACGGAAAATCTCAATTAGGGGCAACGTGTCTTGACCCAATTTACAGATGTCTGGCTTTTAAATTTTGGCTCTGGCTCCAAAAATCCAATTCTACATGCTGCTAACAGTTTAAACTTCATAGAGAAGTCTCGTGCCTTCTTAAAAAAAATCTCTTTCATTCACGAAGATATAATATTATGAATAATCACCATTTACAGAATGTTTGGTGAGTGTTGTAAATTGCCCTTTTGCTGGCAGATATTTGCCATTGATGTATGACAAACAATATCAAAAGATAATAAAATTCGGACCTCGATTCATCGACTAAAATAAATTTTCCATATTATATTCAAATGGCAACTTTACCGAGACGTGGTGACAACACTGTCATCATCAGAGCGTACTGTGTTTGCTGGGAAGTGTTCTGCTTGTTGTATACTGTGTTGTGATGGTTATTTATTTATCAACAAGTTCTCAGAGTTTCAAAATGAAAAGAGAAATCAGACACATGACTAAACTTTACCTTTGAGCCAGTAGCAGCAGGAGTCTGTGGAGATTTTCCTGAAGAGCTCATTATAAGAGGTGTAAAGAATCAGGACGCTCTAAGAAAAACACAGGTTCATGATTCCAGACTCTCCACTCACCTGTTAGCCGAGCAGCTCAGGTGGGAAGTTTCAGATGAACTCGCTTTTACACAGAGGATCAGAGCTCCGAAGCCCGTGTGGAGAAGGAAGCTCCTCGAACAAGCGTGTGTCGGTTTCCTGTAATCGATGACGACGTCACGCTCTCGACTTCAGCCTCTTCACTCATTCACTATTCCCTATATAGTGAATGACATTTCAGTTTACTATCAGTTTACCATTTCTACTGTTGATATGTTTTAAGAAGTCAGTAGAGTGTTCCTATGGTGTTGTAAAGAAATCTTTCCTCACACTGGTATTTGGTATCACTGGAATAGCGGATTAGCATGAAAACCTGACCTTTGGTGTGTCTTTAAATGTGTATTATTAGGAGTTTAATGTAAAGGTAAAGTATTATTCTTGATATCGACGATGCATTGGATAGAGACTTGGGCACAAGTTGGAAAATCCCAGAAGTCTTTGTGGCACTATGACACTGGGCATTGGAAACTGTCGATCGATGATAGGATTGATTTCAAAAGACTTGGAAAACTCATATTGTCAAAATCAGTGTGATATTGAATGTATTTGATGTGATATTTTAAGGTCCAAACCCACAACAGACTCTACTGCACGAATGCCAAAGGACTCCTCCGAAACTTGTGAACTCTTTTGAATTCTCTATATTTTGCGATTGTTGACAGGGAACAATGTGTAGAATAGTTGTTTAAGGAAGGTAGTTGGATGTTTGGGTTGCTGGGCATAAAATTCTTTCGTTTGTTATCATTCTTTCGTTAATGTTGTTAAAATTCTTTCAAAACAGTCACCTTATCGTGGTGGAGAGATTTGTGTGTCCCTATGAACCTGAGGGCTGTGCTGTCTGGAGCATTGTGCTTTTTGTTTTGACAATGATTCGCTCTATAACATCTGCTGCCGCATGTTCGAAACACCCATATCCGATGACCTGAACCATCTCGTGTCATCCACCACGAGCGGTATCACTTCCTGTCTCCGTTTCCCCGGCCAAGTCAACATCGATATGCATGAACCGACCCAGCACATGGTGCCCTACACACGTCCGTACTTCTTAATGGCCATTAGGGGAACCCCTGAGTCCAGCTCATTCTCGGTGTCCAGTCTGACACATCAGATGTTTGACTTGAGTAACACGATGACCACCTGCAACCCACGCCAAGGTCGCTGCCTCACCGCCGCTGCCGCCTTCCGTGGCCACATGTCCATGGTAGATGTGAACAGGCAGGTGGGCAGAATGCAGGAAAGGAACAACAGACACAATGTTGACTGGATCCCCCAAAATATCACAACCACCGTGTGCAATGTTCCCACTTGTGTATCCGAGAAATCCGCCACTCTCATATATAACACCACGGCCATCCAGGCGCCGTTCAGACAAATATCTGAGCGGTTCACGACCACGTTTGGGCGTAACGCCTTCCTGCACTAATACACTGATGCAGGTTTTGGAAGAGATGCGATTCATCGAAGCCAGACACAATACTAATAATCTGGTGTCTGAATACCAGGAGTGCCAAGGCAGAGGAGGAAGGGGAGGAGTTTGAAGCAGAAGGAGTGGAGGACTTATTGTAAATATATTTTGTGTATGTGTAAATGAATTATGTTGTGATCTATGTTATTTAAAAAAATGTGTTAATTTGTTATTCTTTTGTTAATGTTATTAATGTTAATGTCTTATTGAATTTCTTTTGTTAATGTGTTTTTACAATTTCGTTAATGTTTTTAAAATTGTTTTGTTAACGTGTTTCTTTGACTTGCCTGCGCATAAACAGGGAAACAATGATTTCAGCTCTACATTTCCACTACACTGCTGTATGAGATTTAATAGGATTGAGTTCCTTTTCTAAATCTTTTAGCGTGTATAAGATTTCCCTTGGACAGGTTAGCATTCCATGAAGATCCTCGGGCATAACCTTATGACCTGGTTACTACGCTGCAGAAGACGACGTTCCTCAGACATCCCGGTGCAGGTGATTAGGAGCTGCTAAACACAGGAAGTTATGACCGAGTTGTTTTATTTAAAAACACAAACGATAAACCCATGCTCGTAACTAATGGGACAATAGGTAAGAGTAGAGACCATATTGGGTCGCCTCGCTTTAGAGTCCCAACATTATTTATTTTATACTCTTCAGGCAACCTTCCCAATTGTTACATGCATTCATGTTACTTAAATCACTTAATGTTGGTGACATCAGTGCAGTTTCAGAATAAATAAATGGATATAAATAATAATAATAAATATTAATGCTTCGGTGTAAATAGATATTTTCAGGAAGTGGCTAGGACTGAGCTCATTCACCTGAGGTAAATCTTAAGCAGCTGTTGAAATATCGTTCTCATATATTCCCTTTGTCTGTGTATTTGTTTAGAAACTGACATGATAATGGCTTTCCTGCCAAATAAAATCTGTAAGAATCCCAATCTACATGCCACTCAATGCAAAGCCTTTACATTAAACTCATAATAATACACATTTTAAGTTACACCAAAGGTCAGGTTTTCATGCTAATCTGCTATACCAGTGACACCAAATACCAGTGTAAGGAAATATTTCCTTACAACACCATAGAAACACTCAATTGACTTCTTAAAACATATCAACAGTAAACATGGCAAGAGGTTTGCCACACGAGGGCAGTGTAGACTAAATGATTCTTCTTTTCCACAGGAAGTACAAGAGGATCCCCGTGCTCAATGCTAGCTAACTCCAGCAGCGCACCTTCTTTATCTTTATCTTCCAATGTCTGCTTCTCCCCAAAGCGAGCCACAAAACCTGACTTGGGGAAGCACACGTACAGACTTATTACAGTAACCGTTGCATGGTCTGATATCCTGCACATATTATTCATCTGCTCTCAGACTAATATAACATGTATAGTGTTCGTGTGGTTACTACAGACACAATGCTGTTGATTGAGGGTCAGTACAGAAGATCACTGATTCTAGGGCAAATTTTATGCCGGATGCAAAAACCCCCATTTTCCAGGCTTCGGATCGGAACTGAGAGAGCACCGGCTCGTGCAACCCTCAGTGGATGGCGTCGGTTCCCCAGCCCTGAATCGAACCCGGACCGCGGCGATGACAGCATCACGATCTAGCCACTAGTCCATGAGGGAACATGTTATTTTCTCGATGCAGTAAAGTGTTAAAATTCTTGTCTGTGGCAGTCACTCTTACCCTACAGATGTGGTAGATAGAGAGTAGTTTGAAAAACACTGCAGTATTACTTTATGACCTAAAGTTGACTGCCTGGGCACAAGACAGCACTCTTGCCCCTGCAGAACTATGGTTATACCCCGTTATTTTTGCTCCATATAAAATAATCAGGACATCTACAGTAGATGTTTGTTAATGCCTGAAAACTGCAGTTCCAACTATGTCTTCTTACTCCTTGCCCTGCTGGCAACTCTCCCATCCTCTCTGGTCTCTCATCGCAGGACAGATGATTCTCTCAACATAGTTGATTGCAGACTGCTGGAGTCGGGGCAGAACTCTATCCATGCCATTCTGCTGGCAGTGCTGTGCCATTTGACCAGCAAGTACAAACACAGAGATGACGGCGCTCCAGGCCAGGTCCCCGCACCACATCTGAAAGAAGTGCTCGTCCAGGATGGACAGCAGAGTAGAACATGCTGTCTCCTCTGTAGCGTCCCGGAAGACGCGTGGCCAGCAGCGGAAGAAGATCGGGAAGCGCTGGAGGAGCTCATCTCGTGTCGGGCCTAGCGGTGTGCCTGGTTTGGCTGTTACATAGTTAATATAATCGTAGACCGTCAAGTAGGCCTCTCGAACCAGTGGATCAGGGCTGGAAAAGGCCCTGGCCAATCAAATCTATTTGTCCCATCAATGCTGTATCCAATCAGGGTCTTGGTTTCAGTTGGGATTTTCCTGCATGATGATCTGCCTTGGTATCATTTTGTCAGGGTTCTGCAAACACATTAAATCGCACAAGCAGAAACCTACTTAGATTCATTTGTATTATGCTAGCAGTAAAGTTGTTGAGATCCTTCAAATCTTCCTAGGTACAAAGTGTCACATCAAATATCACACACATCCACACGTACACATCCATCCACGTGTCCACAGACGCTGGAGTGACTTACCCCTTGAGAATTATCCAAGAAGTCCCAAGAACACAAAGGCTCAGTTAGCAGCTGGAAGAACAACGACGAATTAGCTCTTTTGTCTGCTTTCTCGGTCGTCTGAGGTGCGAGCATGTGAGTATATTTATGCATGTGCTCTAATATGTTGACCGTGGTTATATTAAGCATTCCTGCTGGTTGAACGTGTACAATCTCGGAGCATCAGACCACCACCACCACCCCTGGCCTCCAGCTAAAAATATTACGCACTCAGATGAGTGAGACTCGATAATTCTCTCTATAAAACCGATCAACAGCTTTAGCCTCATATTTGGCCTGTTGTTAATGGGCACCATTTTGAATTAAGAGTACTTTAAACAAATCCTAACGTAAATGCAGGGTGGGATTGCATTTGTATCCTAAAAGAATTGCGTCATCAGAATGAAAGCTACCCCGCCTTTTGCCCGATGCTTCCTGGGATAGGTTCCCCCACGACCCTGAAAAGGAGTAAGCGGTTGAAGAGGGATGGATGGATGGAGAATGAAAGCCTGGTTTTGGATGAGATTTGTGATTTTTGTGGAATTGACTTGCATGTTATAGCCCTAGGCAGCCAACAGAGGGCACAATCAAACCACTGCGTTCAGTATTATTTCTAAAGGACGTCTTCCTTAACTTTAAGGTCTCTAACATGGGGAAGTCTTCAGGACTTCACAGCACCAAAAATGTAATAATAATAATGAAAAAAAATGTTTAATAAATAAATAAAAAGTTTGTTGTTGTTGCTCTATTTATTTCCTTTTATTCAAGCTAGAGAGAGAAATACAAAGGCTGGTGAGGGAATGCTTGTTCATGGCTAACATTACAGTAATATAAGTAAGAACAGGAGAAATAACTTGTTCCATGGGGTGTTCCACAGCTTTAAATGTAACTATAAAGGGATAAAAAAATATATATATATATATATATATATATATATATATATATATATATATATATATATATATATATATATATATATATATATATATATATAATTGGCAGGGCACATGATGGCTTAGTGATTAGCACGTTCACCTCACACCTCCAGGGTCTGGGGTTCGATTCCCATCGTGGCCCTGTGTGTGTGTGCGGAGTTTGCATGTTCTCCCCGTGCTGCGGGGGTTTCCTCCGGGTACTCCGGTTTCCTCCCCCAGTCCAAACACATGCCTGGTAGGCTGATTGGCGTGTCTAAAGTGTCCGTAGTGTATGAATGGGAGTGTGAGTGTGTATGTGATTGTGCCCTGTGATGTGCCCAGGGTGTACCCGGCCTTGTGCATGATGCACCCTGGAACAGGCTCCAGGCCCTTTAAAGGATATTTAAAGGATAAGCGGTATAGAAGATGGATATAATCTATATGGATATATAATTGGCAAACTGCTGTCATATAAGAGGAGCAAATGACTTCCGGTTGTGTGGTTATGGGAAAATAATCAACAATGGAGTGGGAACAGTATCTCCTCTTCATCAAAGCAGCACCCTTTAGGTTATGTTCCTATAACAACATGTCCAGTTTTATTCCTTACACATGGCTTGGTTGAACCTGGATCATACAGTCACTAGGAGGCAGTCCTGTACCATGAACCAGGTTTGTTTTAAGACAAACAAAATGATTTATTTAAAATTATTTTGACTTACTATTTAGAAAGCATGATGCTCGTCTTATCACCTAATCAGTCTAATCTGTTTTCGGATGGAAATTTAATAGAAGGGGGCATGGCGTTTCTGTAATTCATTCGTGCCTATCAGCCATTCGTTCCGGAAACGTGAACATGTTATTCCTGTGGTAATTAATGGTGGTTATTAATGAGCCTGGCTCTGATTGTTGTGCGAGGCCATGGAGCCTTTCAAAAGAGCACGACAAAGCTTTAATATGCGACAGTGAGCTAAGTAATTAGTACAAAGTAGTGCTCATGATCACTATTTCTGCCTCGAGTACTAATTACTTTTAATTAAGTGGAATAAAGCACACCGTGGAGAAGAACGGATACATGTTCTTGCTTTATCTGATGCGCATGAACTGACTTCTCATGCCTTCGTAATGCTCTGTGGGGGTCTTTATTGTTCCTGACTGGGCTAATTTGACTCATTTGAAAGAGCAACCGCGACTGACCTTAACTGGTACGAGCAACAAATGGAGGTTGTACTGTAATTAAGGGGCTCTGAGAGAAGGAGAGAAACTGAAAGACCGTGCAGAAGAACGAGGTAACAAGAACTTTCTGAATGAAATGGAGCAAAGTGTACTTTGCCTTGTCAGTAGGGTGGTACCATCAAGGGGACATGTTTTGAACCTTTAGTACGTGTATTTTACCTGGAAATCCACCCGTCTGGCCATCCATGTTCTGAACCGCCAAACCTAGACAGGGTCACTGGGAGACTGTCCCAGGGGACTCGGGGTACAAGGTGGGGGACGGCCCGGATGTGCCAAACCATCACAAGGCACAATTGCACACACACTCGCACACTACGGACAATTTCAAGATGCCAAATCAGCGTACAATGCATGTCGTTTTTACCGCGGAAGGAAACCGGAGTACACTGAGTAAACCGCAGAAGCAGTGGAGAACATGCAATCTACACACACACAGGGCAGAGGCGGGAATCGAACCCCCAACCCCGGACGTGTAAGGTAAACGTGCTAACCTCTAAACCATCAATGTTGCACTGTAAATGGAAAAAAGTTTGAGATATTCTCGTTTTTATGTTATACATCATCACCTTCCGGAACACGATCCTGAATTTCTTTGATGACTTGTATCTAGGTACAGCGTCCTGATCACCCAATTAAATGCTCTCTAGTACCATATATGTCCTGGACCCGGAGGCGTGTCTTGCTCTACAGTCGTAGCACATACCTGCAGGAGTAGCTGTTTAGGGGTAAACATGGTTCGTTGGTTTGTTTTTCTTCCCTTATACTATTCCTTTTTCACTTGCTAGAGACAAAAATGGTTGTTGTTGTTTATTTGTGGAATTTGTACAAGGCCACAGTTACAGTTAGAATCAAAATGATTCAACCCCCAGTGCAAATCAGGTTTACTGTCTAAATTTACCGACGTTCAGCTGTTTGCAATGAACCAATCCAACAAAATCAGTTCGACACAACGTATGCTTCAAGTGGTTTCTCCCAAATTCAACTGAAAATGCAATTTATAATGACCTGTCCAGTTTCAAAATTATTCACCCCCTTCACGGCGAGCATCTTTAGTACTTAGTAGAGCTCCTTCTGCTGTTATGACCCGCTGCAAACGAGATGCAGGGCTTCTGCAGCGTTCCTGAGGAATCTTCTCCCGTTCCTCATGAGCGATGTCCTCCAGTTCAGTAATATTCTTGGGTTTGCGTGCTGAAGGTACACCACTCGCACTTTCCTACACTTTAAAAAACACCAAAAACACTTCAGACTGGGAATACTGCGTAGGGGATACTGACCTGGAAGTCGAGTCAGAACAGCCACAAGAAGTTTGCAATTGCAAGTAATGTACATTTTCATTCCCACTGAACTTATTTTATAATGATTTGAACCGTTGAAATCATTTCTCTGTAGTAAATAGGCGATAACATTTTCAGCATGATAGCCAGTGTTAGCATTCTGACAAAAAGTTATTTGTGGAGGGAAAATGTAATTGAAGTTTGCTTCTTTGGTATTTCTGTGAGAGAATTTTAAGGATTAGATGAAAAATTTGTACATAATTATAATGACAGTTAACATGAAGTCACCTAAATTTAGACTGCTACATACCTATTAATGTTACTGCTAGCTAGCTAGTTAAAAATGGCGTCACGTTTTCTCTCTAACTTAAGCACCGACGCGAACATGATTTCAAAAGGTACATGGAAATGATGGTTATTATGTTTGAGTGAAGCTGTCTCATGCTAGATGTTTGGGGTTTTTTTTTTGTCCGGCAACGAAGAAAAGTACAGTTCGGTACCTTTATTTCTGGGAGTGTGAAAGTGAGAGGCTGAATTTTCCACCAAAGCCTTGAATAATCAGTCGTTATTTTCC